TGTGAAAAAAGGTGAAGGCTTGACCTTGACTCGATTTGTAACTGCCGTAGACCTGTGAAAATAAGTGAAGGCTTGACCTTGACTCGCTTTGTAACTGCCGTAGACCTGTGAAAATAAGTGAAGGCTTGACCTTGACTCGCTTTGTAACTGCCGTAGACCTGTGAAAATCAGTATAGACTTGACCTTGACTCGCTTTGTAACTGCCGTAGACCTGTGAAAATAAGTGAAGGCTTGACCTTGACTCGCTTTGTAACTGCCGTAGACATGTGAAAATAAGTGAAGGCTTGACCTTGACTCGCTTTGTAACTGCCGTAGACCTGTGAAAAAAGGTGAAGGCTTGACCTTGACTCGCTTTGTAACTGCCGTAGACATGTGAAAATAAGTGAAGGCTTGACCTTGACTCGCTTTGTAACTGCCGTAGACATGTGTTAAAAGGTGAAGGCTTGACCTTGGCTCGATTTGTAACTGCCGTAGACCTGTGAAAAAAGGTGAAGGCTTGACCTTGACTCGATTTTTGAGTGTCGTTCACCTTTTATTACAAGTACAACTGTCATATCTATAGCCAGTGTCAACATCTGGAGAAGACACTCTGGGGTCACTTTAAAGTGTTGTGTTTCTGAAATATCATTTCTTGTACTCAAACGCAGGCCGTGTTGTCCTACAACGAAAAATACACCGCAGAGATGATTCCATGTTACGTCACCGAAAATCTGGAACCTTTTGTTTCCCGGATGACAGTGACGTAGTGGGAATACATTTCGTGGTCACTTCAACACCGCATGTTGATATTTCAAAACATCGATAGATCGACTTTTGGTAATGTTTCAGTGCGTGTATCGACTAGAAATGGACATTGGCCAGCAGTGCATACATCTACTGGGAATGTCGATCTTGCATTCTTAGAAAATCATAATTTTTTTTTCAGATCAGTGTACATTACTTTTGTGTAACGATTAGTTTATCGGAAGTTCTGAAGGGATAACTTAGTTTTTTCCCAGAGTTTACAATGTCATAGCTCATCTCCCTTTGCAAGTTTTTTCAGGGTTAGATATTGATGGTTGGAAAATCTCTTTGTGTTTTCCCGAAGTCTCCATTTATAAGAGTTTCTCTCTCGTGCAAAAGTCTTTTTTTCATAGCTGCTATTAGAGCGAAAATACTTAATTTGTTAGTGATCAATTTATCAACTTTGAAAGCAGAAAAACTGTAAATACAAAGGAAAAATGATTCACAATTCGTACCCAAAATCCCTTGGTAGGAGTACATTGTACCATTCCTGTAATTTCACCAACAATAGACTGCTTTTTCTGTTATTTGATTATCTACCCCCTGTGACTCTGACCAGGTGATGTTATTTGGTACAAATGAGAAAAAGTTTTTGAAAGTGGTGTAATATTCAATTTAACGAAATTAAACTAGAAATCGAGCCGAGCGTTCCTTAATTAGGTGTATTGTGTTGACCCCTGGGTATTTTATTCGACACTAATACGTCATTTATCATACATAAGTAGGTACAAACTGACAGCGTACCAGAATTCATTACAGCATACAATGTACAGCCAATTAAAACGTGACTCTGCAAAATTCTGACGAGGCCAATATACTACATAGTACAGCGGTCACCTTATTTAAATCTTCTGTACAAAAATCTGATACCGATGTTTCCCAACAGCGTCTAACTTACTTACATCTAGTTTCCTAACATCTGATTCGGACGTTTTCCAAACAGCGGTCACCCTACTTATATCTTCTTTTCTTACATCTGATACAGAAGATTCCCAGCAGCGGTCACCCTACTTACATCTAGTTTACTTACATGTGATACAGATGTTTTCAAACAGCGGTCACCCTTCTTATATCTAGTTTACTAACATCTGATACAGATGTTCCCCAATAGCGGTCACCCTACTTACATCTAGTTTCACTTACATATGATACAAATGTTTTTCAACAGCGGTCACCCTTCTTACATCTAGATTATGAACAACTGTCACTGCTCTAAAACATCTTACGAGGAAGTTTTGCGACTAGAATTTCACCTTGTGAAAGGCCATTGACCATTATTCAATTTTACTGAGTTTAAATGTGTGGCGTAGACCGGCGATAACCGAACACTGACCACAAACACTCAGTCACAGTATCCACGTTTATCTATCGTGACGTCAGCCGGTTGATATCTGAGCCCGTATTCACGAAACCGTTCTCATGCTCAAACTCAAAGTTTTGTACTCAAAATTCAAGCTTTGTGATCCCTTGTTTTATTCTCAAGCTGGCCATAGACACAGTTTGTTTTTAAATATAACACTGTATAAACAGTGTCAAAGTGGCGGATTATTAAAAACACGGAAGATAATTTTCTAATTGAGTATATTCTGTTGCCATTACTTGAAATGAAAAAAAAAATGAAAATATCAAATGGGTAATTTTTGTGATAATGCTGCTTCATCAGCTGTGAAAACAGCAGCAATATTTAGTTGAATACCAGAAACAGGTGCTACAGATACTTTAATATCTACTGCAGAGCTGGTAAATTTGCATGTGAAGAAAATTTCGAGAGTGGAATTTAAGGTATATTCACTCTCCAGTCTGATGCCAAAACGTAAATCCAGTTTGATAACGGGTTCAAAAAGCGTAGTATAGTTTGATTCAATACAAGTTGAAATGCAAGGACTTCAAATACCAAGAAAATTTCCTGATGTGTTTGCTTCATTATTGTTAAAGGACGAAAAACGCCTTTCTAAACAGTTAGGTATAAATCTGATGTCTGCATATACGCTTTTGGAAAGCGATATTCGTTCTAAATGAAACAAAAAACAAGAAAATGAATGACAATTATGCATAAATCATATTCATCGCGAAATAACAAATTCCCAGAACATAATCCAAAGTTATATATACGTAACTTCCGGGCACAGCGGTATTGGATGACTTTTGTAGTTACTACTTCCGGGGGACAATAGTATTATCTGACCTTTATAGTCTCCTTTTGTGCTCCTCTACACAGAACGTTTTATATTATTGATGAATTACGTAACTCCCTTGGGTTTTTTGTTATAGTAAATTCCACGTTTCTCTTGAAGCTTTACCAACCTGATGCTTTCACAAAAAGTTATAGGATGTCTATAACAAAGGATATAGACGTTTGTACTACTGTATGTCGAATGGTGCACATGCAAATGTTAGACAGGTCTTAGGTGCCCGTGGGATATTTGTTTGCATCAATATTCTGTGGCATCAAGGCTTTGCAAAAAAACGTAATCCTATTCTTCAACAAAACAGGGAGGCGTTGTACCTGTGCCAACTGCCTCACAGACTTATTCGTAACGCGGTATCGTGACGTCACCGTCATGCATCAGCACTTACGGTACCGGTTGCTTGTAGAATAATGACAAATGACCTTTCATTGACTGCGTTACGATCGTGACTTAATCGGACATGTCTCAAACCCGGCATGACGAATTTCTTACAAAAAGTGTAAGTAAATTTACAGCTGCAAATTCTTATGTTCACACAATCGCCCTCTAGTGTCATTTTTTTCCACATTTCGATGCACGTGTTGTGACGGAATGACTCATAGTACATTTTTTTTGCGTTGAAGTGAGTCAAATTTGTGTACATTTCTGGATAAAGTTAACCCTTCCGACATCAGGAACTATTCATTTTGCTGTAAGTGATTTTTTTTTTCGGTTCGATGCCAATATTTGTTGAGGCACAAAGACAATTGGGTTATCTCATTTCTTTATCACTTTCATCTAGAAATCGGTAACTCACAAACTGTAATTTCCATGACGTGATCGAGTCATTTACGTCATCAAACCAAACTACAACTGCACATTGTATGTGCAGGCATAGATACCAGAACAAAAATAGATGTATACATGCAGTGAAGATGTTTATTGTGAATATAACTGTTCTGAGTTCCAGCTCGGGGTCGGTCAATTTGTATGTGTACGTTTGGAGTTGGAGGCAAGGAACAAATATAACAATACAATAAGCAAACATACAAAGGAATAACTGAATTTATAAATACACCGACTGATATCATAGATGTTCTACTGGTGAATACACAGCTTCATTATCGCCTGCTGTGTCTGCACTCATTCAACATGTAAGTCGGCGATTCGCAAACACATAGTTATAAATCTTTATAATTCTATCATTTTTATTTGATTTTTCTCTCTCTCTTTTTTTTAATCGCGAGCTTCATACTTTATGAAAATGTTTCACTGGTTGTACTGGAAATGTCAGTCTCCTTTGAAGCAGAGAGGACGTGGTCACGCTACATAAACTGCAGTCTACACGACGCGTACATGTTAAAGTCGTGTCCTGGATGTTAAATGTACAACTCAGCAGATTCACGGAGAACGTTTACAGAGTTTCAAAATTGCTCGTTTGACTGGTGCGTGAAAACGACTCGTGGCACTAGATATTATTCTACTGTCAGTAACGCAGACTTTAGCGACATGTGTAACGGCTTCACGCTTTTGTAACGTGAAAGTTTGAGTTTTAAAGCTCAACAGATGTGAATAAAAATGTGTACCTGTGATTTCTAGCCCGGCGCTTTAAATGGTGCACCGAAGGAATTGCTAACTTGTACATGACGATATTTCAGGTGTGAATCCAGGTAATCCCATTGATAAATGTTCTCGTACTGATCCGAGATATCGATTGCAAGTCAGACCGACTGATTGAAGGTCTCGTGAATGAAACCTTCACGTAGATAAGTAAACCAGGTTTGTCGGGGAGACAATGAATTTACTATAAAATTGTTTCGTATTTATACGGTTGGGTTTATGTTTGTAGAAGGGATGACAGGTTGTTGTAGTATCGGTGTTGAATTAATAAGCCTGAACTCCCCCAATGTAATACTACAGTATAAAAATACCGGTACGAACACCTACCTACAAAGCGGTGTAATGGTATCGCCGGGCTGTGTGAACACATATATACAGAGTATACAGTCCAACAGTTAGCTTTACACGAGCGTATTGTTGGGGAAGTACACGAAACATCAATGAAAGTTTCACCGACAATAAGTTTCCGTCGGGATGTATGCATGATGTCTTATTTTGGAAACACACCACAAGTAAAAAAGCACGTGTTTGTCTGTGCGCGTGAGTGTTAAGTGTCGCGCGTGATTTGTGTGGATTTGTGACAGATACTGAGGCTGAGAAATGTTGTCTCCCTCTACATTAGTTCTGTTTGAATTGTTGGTGTTGTCATTTCTACGTGTCGTAACTTTGGCTACACCTCACTATACATTCCGGGACCCTAGACAAGGTAGGTACTTAAGTGATGACAAGTTACCATGGTAACGTTTTAAAGCTACCCGTCGTTGTAAGTTGACATTTTTATGTGATGACACCTGTTGAACTCTGCTGTATACAATGTAATAAAAATAATCATCAGTCTATCTTAATATTTAATAGACGGTTGTCTTATCTGTCGCACGATGATATAACCGTGTTAATTAATGCAACTTTTATGATCAGTTAAAATGTTTAGTCTGTCAAGGTCCCATAGACACACAGAGTTAAGATGCTACTTCAGGTTATCAGGTAGTCTATGTCTGAGTCATAGACTTGACTCTGTCTACTGTATCTGTGTACCATTTCTGGATGACATTTTATCGGAGTTTCTGTATCGTATCTGGGTTACGTTATATTCGAGGAAGTGTGCTGTATCCGAATGATATTAGACTGGAGTTTGCGTATCATATCTGGGTGACGTTAAAATGAAGTCAGCGTATCGTATCTGGGTGACATTAGAATGGAGTCAGCGTATCATATCTGGGTGACATTAGAATGGAGTCGGCGTATCATATCTGGGTGACATTAGAATGGAGTCGGCGTATCATATCTGGGTGACATTAGAATGGAGTCGGCGTATCATATCTGGATGACATTAGAATGGAGTCAGCGTATCATATCTGGATGACATTAGACTGCAGTCAGCGTATCATATCTGGGTGACATTAGAATGGAGTCGGCGTATCATATCTGGGTGACATTAGAATGGAGTCAGCGTATCATATCTGGGTGACGTTAGAATGGAGTCGGCGTATCATATCTGGGTGACATTAGAATGGGGTCAGCGTATCATATCTGGGTGACATTAGAATGGAGTCGGCGTATCATATCTGGGTGACATTAGAAAGGAGCCAGCGTATCGTATCTGGGTGACATTAGACTGCAGTCAGCGTATCATATCTGGGTGACATTAGAAAGGAGCCAGCGTATCGTATCTGGGTGACATTAGACTGCAGTCAGCGTATCATATCTGGGTGACATTAGACTGCAGTCAGCGTATCGTATCTGGGTGGCTTTATATTAGACTGTGTACTCTATCTGAGTGACAATACATTATACAAATGTATCGACTCGACATCCACTATAGTTTAAAAAAAAACAAAAACATTGCTTCTCAACAACTTGATGTGTATTAAATGAGGTCTGGCAGATTCTATAAATCAGAACGATAGGTTATGATGACGGTAATGGACTTATTATATAATACACATACACCTTACTCCGGATATGTGTCGATAATAGCACAACAGACCGTGGAGCAGTGTTAATTCGGGTCAAGGTATGTGTTGTGGCACTGTCAGAAAGGCTAAAATATTAACAAGTTATCTATTGGTCATGTTGTTAACACTGAGGTGGCCCGTCAGGTAGGCTGACAGGCGGGTTAATTGGTCATGTTGTCACACCTGTTGTGGCTCTGTCAGGTTTTGTCCCTCCTGTTGTTGCCCCGACAGACAGGTTAATGGCCGTGTTGTTATCATGTTGTTGCCATGACAGACAAACTAATGACCGTGTTGTCTCTCCTGTTGTTGCCTAACAAAGAGGCTTATGGCCGTGTTTTGTCTCCTGATGTTGCCATGACAGACAAACTAATGACCGTGTTGTCTCTCCTGTTGTTGCCCTAACAGACAGGCTAATGGCCTTGTTGTCTCTCCTGTTGTTGCCGTGTCAGGTAGGCTATGGATCGTGTTGTCTCTCCTGTTGTTGCCCTGACAGACAGGCTAATGGCCGTGTTGTCTCTCCTGTTGTTGCCCTGACAGACAAGCTAAAGACTGTTGTCATTCCGCTGCTGAGCTAACACACTTCGTACCTATGTAAGGAAGCTCCGATAACTTTTGATATGCTTGTTTGCATATCCTAACAAGACTCATCCATTTATCCCGTCAGTCGTATCGACCTGAACTGACGCTAGCGTGTCATAAAATGATAAAAATCTGTTATTTATCGAGAGTTATTATACAAGATGGGTTCACTCGACAGAGCCTTTGTAGGATGGTATACCTGTGTAGCCTTTGACGCAGTCGTAACCACCTTTAGTTTTTTGCTTTCTTGAAGCGCGTGCCCGCAAGACACATTGAATCTCTGTTAACGTTAAAAACACGTGTTTAAGTTTTTGTAAAGGGTTTTCTCATGTGTAGATACTTATCATTACTTCATTCCTTATGAGTTTGATGATCAGTTATGTTACTGCTGCTTTTCCTCTGTTGTCTAACATGTGCAATAATGACAATCGCAGATACTTGGTTAAAACATGTCGGGTCGTTGTGCTGTTATTACCAACACTATATGGTACTGATTTGAGTAAACGTTTCAATAGATTGGTGGTCTGTACTGCTATTTCTGCACCAAGTTCTCCCTTCTTCTTTTTATGAATTTCTTGAGGATTTGTTGATTTATCTGTCATTAATACCTATATATAGGTTGTCTAAGATTCGTTGTTTAGTCTGGGACCGGAATCGGTAACCGGATTTCGTTTCCGTTGTTTAGACTTTGTATTTAACCATCATCAGAATTTTGACGAGTTTATTTACGTACAACCCGACAAATTTAGAACCAGCGTTTGTATACAACTAAATCATGTTTGATGGTCTATATAATATCAAGGCTGTGGAGAATATAATTAATCCGTTACATCGTATTGTATCCCCTAAACCTTAGTAAGACCGGCTGCCGTGGCTGGTGAGGAAGTTGTAATCATATTGTAGATAATAAACAACCTGTACTATCTACATGTAGCGCCAGAGGGACGGTAAACCCTGATCACGAAACATAATTAATAAGATCAAAACCGTATGGCAACAGTTATCATAATTTATATGTAATTACATTATATGTATGTATATCTACGGTTTATCACGGTAAACGATATCACAGATACATCAACAACCACTAATTAATAATAGGTCGTGTTATTGATAATTAATGGAATGTTTCGTTACGTCCCAAAACATTAAAAACTAAAGTTGAGTTCGGAAGACGGAACTTTTTGTCCGATACCTTTTGATTATTGCTCACGTTCGTACACATTAGCTTTCCAATCCAGAGATGTGCCCGATTGTGGTTTTTATTAATGTGTACTGCAATTGTAAATATGTGTGCTTCATCCCAAAACTACATATACTGTTACAAGAAACGACGGAGATAAGCAAATATTACAACAACCCTGGTTCCCTGTTCAACTGACTAGCGCAGAATGTAAATGAAACGCCGTGCATGGCCGATTTGTCTGGGTACTTTGTACAGAGTAGGGAACAGGTAACGGTTAGCCTTTACATCGGGTAACAAGGATACAAGGATCAACGGATGTCACTGAGGGGCCAAACCCTTGTCACCTGGGTAACACGGTCGCCAGTGTCAGGGCGGGTCAATATGGGGTTAAGAATCCGCGTGACCCGATACAAAGGAGAAACGGACAGAACTACACACGAAAAGCAAACGATGTCAGAGAGCTGCCATGGACAGCCAGCTTATTGAATAGCGCCCGACACTGAATCTGGAGTCTGCACCACAGTATTTCTTTAAGATTCTCATCCGTACAATAAGCCCCAGTATTGATGATATCCGAAACCAATTTTGTTTCCCACGTAAAACAAAGTAATTGATAAAGCGGTGAATTATACACAGTTTATCACAAACCATTACGGTGAGGTACGGAACGTTTTAATGTTTGTGTGGGGCAAGCAATTCACGTCATCAAAACACGTGCATATAGTGTTTTCCGGAGTCTAATACCGAGAAAACAATATCAAATCTTTGCGTGAGACCCTACGTGTAACATTCACAAAAAGAAAACAAATTAAATAGCTTGTTGCATTGCATAATTAGATTTACATGAAAACCAGGCTAATTTGACACTGTAATAATGTCCCCCTTTACCAACCTTTACCGACGGGAAGTCAATGCGTTTGTAATGTTATCCCCGAGACCTTAAACGAGCTGGCCCTGATACAATTTGTATCGTCGGTATGACTCATGTATGTCAATCCTAGTATAACTTGTCATAACAAAACTTCGGTCTGCAACTAATGCAAGCTTACCATGCAATGGTGGTCGACTGTAGTGATACATGTTCCAGTACAGAAAGCAAAACATGTAAATTGAATGATTTCTCTTGAACAAAATGACGATTCAGAATACTACAATGATTGAATTTGAGGCAATAATGATATTTAAAACGATTCCAAGTAGTGATATTTCTTTGTTGCAATTAGTTACCTCATAAAATAAATTACGATGTTAACATCACACTGTAATATAATTATAGATATGTAACATCGGTGACTTATTCAGAAACTTGCGGTCCTAATGACTGAAATACTTGTTTGATAATTTTTTGACAAAAAACAGTCGCTCTTTATGTATCTACTTTAAGAACCTCCGACATTTTATTAGCGAGTGTAATAATAAATGGACACTTCGTTCTCGCGTGCTCGTTTAGTGATTGATATAGAATGCTAATTTGCATTCCCGGTAAATTTGTGGTTTAATTTCACACACGATTATCGATACCACTTGAAAGTAGTCCCTACGAACTGAGAGGGATTGTCGAATCTGTCATTGATTTACGGAGTTATGGATAGACTGATTGATCTGTTGGTATAGACATAAACATAGCACTTAAACTATCCCAGTGAATTAATCGTTTTACGATGTGCAAGGCATCAGACATAAGACAGAAGTGAATAACACCTTTCAATTATACATATTAATGAAGATTTAAACTATATCAAACACATGTTTCGTCATCTAGGAATCGTCATTTAAGTCAATTAATGTGTTTAATTGGGGTATTTTTTATTGTGTTACTGTAATGGATGTTAGGTTGGAAAGACTATGCGATCTAGTAAAATTCTTTAACATCGTGATGTACAAAAGTTTCCGGTGAAAAAGACATCAGTTTAGTGGTAGCCGAGAAATCCCCTCTCATCGTAGGCAGGCAACACATTTTCTCATTGTACGTGTCAACAAGCACCA